AAAAGGGAGGTACGTGCTTCAAAAATTTTTGTCACGTAAGATAAAAAGTTTTTTTATATTTGATAAATTGTACACGTCATAGAATACGGTCGTAGTAAAAACAATAATATAAATAGCATAACTACTTACTGAAAATGTCTGTTAAATACCAACAATTACTCTTTACGGTACCTCCCCTATTTTGAGGAGATAGTTTAACTTGCAGATTATTGCATTTACACACAGTATAACGGCTAACTTATCGAGTCTTTATGGAAAGCGGACGTCAAGTAATTAAGCTCTAAGTGCTCATAATTTAAAAAATTTAAGGCAATCGTAAACGTGTAAAATTTGTCCTATTTACTCAGTAAAATTTGCAATATTGTTATTATTCTTATTTTATTGAAATAATTTAATTGTTATGCACTTGTTTATTCCTTTATATATTATAATTCAAATTATTGCCAACTTGCAAAATTTTTACATATGTATGGATACACAGTATAATAAGCTTAATTGTTCAATCCAGTACTTAAGCATCAGTCAACGCCCGTATTGGCGTTAAATTTAATATCAGATTACTGAACATATTCTGTAAAACAATTTACTGACATAGAAAAGTTTTGTGTTGTAATCAAAGTCAATATTCTGACAAATGTCTCCGCTTTATTATAAATCTAAGACCATTCATACGTAAATGGTCACAAATATTTGTAGTGCTATGACATTTATTAACTCTTATTTTTAATTAAATTATTAAACTGTTACTTTGGTTTCTGTGAGAGGTTATTTCTTGATTATCTCTACATAACAAGTCGTGCAGCTAACCAGTAATATAAACTAACTTTTCAAAAGTATATTATGTTTATTTTGATATTAGGTAATACCTGGAAACGTGATGCAATCTATCCCAGACATTATTGCAATTTACATTGGGAACATTTACAGTACAACAACAATAAATAGTCAATATTAATTATATGTCTAATTTTTACGAAAATATTTTTACCTGCAGCCCAGTACAAGAAAGGAGTTGCCAAGCAAAAAATAGGAGTGTAACTGATTGCCATCAAACAACTTTGATGTAAACCCCATCAAGGACTTGTAGGCGGTTTTATATTAGTTTGTAGTCAATATAATTAGCTCTGTCAAAACACGTTCCAAGCTTGTTTAACAAATAATTTAAATAAGAGATTGGATGTCTTAAATATTCTGTAATCTCTGAAGAACATATCTGTTGCTCTATCAATCAACAAAAGCAGTAAATTGACTTAATAATCGACAAACCCAGGCACAAAATCAGTAATTGAGATTTTGAGACAAATTACTCAACTAACAGCAAGCACTTGTTGCATTGATTGCTATATTTGTTACGTTAACATAAGTTTTATCTTGTCCATATATTTTTGAATCTGATAATTTTATGAACCAGCAAATATACTCTGTTTACAAAGAAATAATTGTCGTAATAAAATTTTTTGTTTTGCAGTAACTAGTTAATATATTTAAGGCATTTATATTATCAGTATCTGCTAAGTTATGTATATTGACGTTGGCTTAATTTTTGTAACTACAGTTATTTTAATTTCTACATACACTATGTATGTACTGTAGACAATTTTGTATGCTCATCAAATTTAGAACACACAACCAATTCCAGCTATCTATTCTACATTATTTGCTCTGCAACGAGTCTATATTCTAAACTGTATCAACTTCAAGGCAGTCAATGCTTAGACTCAAAAATTTTGTATGAACATAAACACATTTTTTTGACACTACTAGGAAAATAATATTGTAATAGTCACTAAATATAAAAATAAATTTCATACTTCTACCATTCTAAAAATACTGGTACTGTAAATGTACAGGTAAGCTTTATTATTTTTGTAACAGCACAAAATTTATTGCCAAGCCATAAACTTAATTAAGCATGATGACTTCTGGACATAATGAATTTACAATAGTTCTCACTACATATTAAATCATTCTTATCAAGCCAACAAAAAGACGTTTTAAGCAATTTTGTTGATACTATTAATACATGCATCTTATAGTTTCGGAAAGAGATCGATAATTATGTAAAACTGTATTAACAATTTTTGAATTCACTGTCGAATTCAACCTAATCACAACTTGAAAGAAAATTTACCTAAAAGACTTTGAACAATTTAAACACATAACGATAACTAAAATGTTTGTATTATTAATCTCATTAATTTGTTTACTTTGTTCAAAAAAAAGTTTGACCCGTTTTTGTATAAACAAGCTTTTGAAGCAAAAGTGTATACAACTATGAGAACAAACACCACTCTCGAGCTTGGTTGAAACTCTACATTCATGACGTAAGTTGGGGGGCTTGAGTTGCAAGAGAAAAACATAAACTAATAAATGGGAATGTTGTATGAATCAAAAATTCAAGCTGTTAAAGAAATTAGCTTAAATAAATTTGCAGGGGCAATGGTGTAATGATAAGTTGTTTTATTTCTACAATAAATTTTCAGACAAACAAGGAGTGTATAGCTATTTTGAAAACAAATTATTCCAAGAGCGCATACTAATACACAATGTATACTTCAAGTTAGCAGATAGAAAAATTCTTATTCTATACACTTACTTTTGTAATGCACTAGAAAAAAATTAAGCTTGCGCGTATGACTATATTTACCTAATATCAGAAAATTTTTTACAAAACTGTAAAATTTACACAATTAATATTATTGACAATTACTTAATATTACAAATTATTTCTTGTTTACTTAATAATGATAAGTTTAATATTAACATTGGTAATAATTATTAATTTTTTGTATAACAGAAGTTACATGTTTATGTTTAACATTGTTATGATTAACTTTAATAAGAAGATTGCATTCATACCATGCACAATTTAAGCAATGACAAAGAACATTGTGATGCATGTGTATTCTCTAAACGTCATTTATCAAGGGGTATTTCTAATAGAACTTGTTTGCTGCAAATGAATAATATTATCTTTTAATGTGTGCAACAACACAACAGGTTTAATTAATCATCTGATAATAGATTACGCTTCAATCGGGCTAAAAATGAACCATAGCACGGTAAGGATTCTCGACAAAAATAAAAAAGCTTTTAAAATGCCTCTTGGAATTTCATTTTCCAGGAAATTATATATTTTAAAGGAGGACATTTAAATCTCAACCATAGTGTCCGCATATTCCCCTGCATTACCACGCGATTATTGAGATTACTGAGTTTTCGCTCCGCCCCGACTTTGCTCCGCCTATCCGACAACATCCTATAGCCATTTCCAAATCAGGGATCCGCTGTACGATGTAACAGTCACACAGCATATTCCGGCAGTATTATTATACAACGAATAAAATTTGGTCTTTCATAGTCCGAAGAACTGGTAATCATCTCTTTCGCTCGCCTGAATACTTCACTACTGATGCTCGTTAGGTTAGTATAAGCATATATACATTGTATTATCCTAGTTGTGGAATTGTCTTTATGTTTAAATAAGACGTTTAGTACACTCACATCTGACTTCTCATTCTTGTAAAGCAATATGCTCAATTCACTTTGTTTTTGTTAACTGCAGTATCTCGACGATGTCTGCGTAAAATATATAACCTCATATTCGAACATTACTCACTCAGCACCTATGTCATTTTACTTGATTGCGTGCTGCGACAATGTTTCTATTACTGATCGAATCCCAATTGTGCTTTGCGTTCATAGTTTCGCAGCGATTCAATGACCAATCACATTAAAATCGGTGAATGTTACCAGTAAGATAAGATACATCAGACTGATTCGTGTGAGAAACCCATAATACTCAGGCAGACCTAATGCTGTCCTCACCTACAAGAGGTCTTACTCGGGCACAGGGATGACCCTCACCTAACACTAATCAAATATGCAGAATTGTTTATGTTAGTTATGTATTATTTACAATCAGTAACGTGGATCAACATTATCAATCTCATGTACCATGTTATACAAGCGGCCTCCAGCCCAAACTACGCCTTATTGCTTTGGAGACAAAAGAAACATTGTTTAATTCTAAGTAGATTATTACATAACACCAAGTTACGCTTATCGTTTCGACGTTCGTCAACATTGGCGGTGAACAGGATATTCGCTTCGTTTCGTAATCGGATCATTAAAGCGTTCCGTCGACACAAAATTTATCCGTCCCTTTCATCGGCACTATTATTATTCCTTCTTTCCAGACATTTATGTTAGTGTTTAATTTATGACCAAAAATAAACATGTATTTCCGGACAGCTTTTAAAGAAGACCGAATTCTCCAAAGGCTATGCAGATACGATAAAGCAGCGGATAAATACAAAGCATTATTGGGATTTTGGTGTTGTCTGTATGGTACAAAGCTTGGAAGCCCTAACAAAAATAAACAAAACGGTTAAAATAACTATCTAAATTTATAAAGATTTCGCTAGGCCAGCGGAGCGATAAAAAAACTCCATGACAAGTACTTAGCATTGGGCGATTATCAGCGCCACATAGTTGAATATCACGTGATACTATAAGAAACTTATCGTTTCTTGCGGGTATGCTTTTCATGACAGAAGGGAGTAACGAGATAAGTGTGGTTTCGGAAAAGATATAAATAAATTCTACATTCTCAACAAGAAATTTCGCACACAGTCGCAAACATATTTCATATCGTAGATTTTTGATTTCGTTTCGGTGAATACCACCAACTCCTACTGAAAACGTATGCGCCGTTTAACACACTTTCATGAACGTATCAACTCTCGTTCGAAGAATAAGTGTATGGACACGCAACAACGAAAGCTTACTGTCGTTAATGTAAGATTGAAAGGAAGTAATAATTGTTGTAGTACTCAGTTGATCTCGTGGCACCGCTTTTACCGGGTCTGCAATGTTGGGTTACAAGTACAAAATGCACAGTAGTTTTTCTGCGTATGATGAAACAAAAAGGAGTCTCAAGATGACGTAATGTATCACATTACACCAATAAATATACGGGGTTTGAATTTTACGGACTCATGGATTATTTACGATGTTTGGAATTTTTCTCTGGCATTGGTGGCATGGTAATGTATGTGATTCAAGTTCAATAATAGTGCACAACCAATATTAAACCGAAGTTAAACCTTGTACGACACAGCATTTTGCATTAAAAGTCAGTGGGATCGCAGGACAGATAGTCAATTGCTTTGATGTTAACATTGTTGCTAATACCGTTTATAAGCACAATTTCAATATTGATCCAATTAAGGTATATCTCGGCAATTCCGATATTCCATGTAATACAAATGTAATAAACAGTGACACCATTGATTGAAATTCTGTTCTTAGACATCAATAGATGTACTTAAGCCGCAAGACATAGACAAACACAAAGCAGACTGCTGGTTTCTGAGTCCGCCATGTCAACCGTACACAAGAGGTGGCAAACTGTTGGATGATAGAGATAACAGAGCAAAACCTCTCCTGCATCTCATTGAAATACTGCCCCAATTGCGTCACCCACCAAAGTTCATATTCGTTGAAAATGTATTGAACTTTGAGGTATATTATTTACTATTTAAGTCCTTCAATAATTGTCTATTGTGTCTATTGACAATAGGCTATTGACTTTATATTATTAGAAATCCAAGTGCAGAGAAAAGCTTGTTAGACAGCTTTGTCATCTTGAGTATTCAATTACGGAGTGTTTATTGAGTCCATTGCAATTTGGTATTCCAAATCATAGACTTCGATATTATCTGGCTGCTCAGCGCAGCCACGCAGCTCGAGTGCAGTCGGCTGAGGAGTACCTTACTACTGCGTCCATACACACAACTTGGCCACTCTTCCCTGCGGGCGAATCTGCTACAACATCCACTGCGTCCAATACATCTGAGCCATCAGTGGATCAAACATTCAAAGTCTCTACTCTCGATTATTTTTTGCAAAGCCCACAATCAAATTTAAAAGACTTTCTCGTACCGCACGAGTATTTAACCAAAATTTTGCATGGATTCAAACTTGGTGGGTATTCGACTTGTACAACAATTATTTCAATCAATGTTACTAATGTGGATCCATTCGCAAAGACATTGTGCATCCACACGATAAGCGTTCAGCGACTTTCACAAAGGTTTGTTTACTATTTTTTATTTGTTAAAATTATACGCAGTAATAGCGAACTTAACTCTATTATAGGCATATGGTTCTCATCACATATATTCGTCAGGATCGTTAACGCGAACCGATCCAAAGGTATAAGACATTAAAATTCATTCTAACTGTCAATATGTCAAACACGCGCAATTTTACCGTCATTTACCATATGTAGCAGGTTGAATATAATTTTAGTAACCCAGTTTCGTTACTAAACCTTGGGATACGATTCTTTACACCATTGGAAATAGCGAGATTACATGCGTTTCCAGTTGAATGGGGATGGGGATTCTGGAAAGATAACAATTATGATCATTACAGCGATGATGACGGTCAATGTAATCTAAACGATAAGCAACACAACAACAGCAAGCTACCACGAACATTTCACCCAAACTTGTTGGGAAGTGACAAGTTTACATTTCCCGAGAACATCACCAATATACAAAAGTACCGGTTGTTAGGTAACAGTTTAAACGTCTGGGTAGTAGCTGAGTTATTTCGGTGTGTATTATTCACGGAAGAGCAGAATTAACGTTTGACTATGCGAGATCAGATCAGTAAGTGGAAATTATACGTCTTATTCTATAAACCGGTGCTCTCTACTTTGAATTTTTGCATTTGGTCTATATTGTAATACAACCACATGCAATTCTATAGTTCGGTTAGCGACACGACTGTATTATCGAGAAGCGTACTCTTACTTTCCTGTGACAAATATCCTATATGATAAGATCCGGAAAATGTTTACTGGATCTGTAATAGGTTCGTTCTTGTGCTAAAAAATTAATATCGTCATGTTTATAAATAATAAGTCTCTGCTGCTACTTAAACAAAGCTCACAATATTTTCAGTTCTTACGTTTGTCTTAAGTATAACATGTGTCGATCAATGCAAGCACAAACAACCCCCGGATGAGTAATTTGACCAATAAAGTCCCATAATGAGTGACGAACTTTTTGTGTAATGTACAGATTTTTTGTATTGCGTACAAATTTCCTCTTTTATTCTGACTTGCTTTTTAAAGTATATCGATATTAATATTCTGCAAATGTGGATTTACATGCCCCCTGAACTGATGACTAAGTCAGTAGGGATTTACATCCCTCGAGTAATAGTTTTTTTATTGTAAAAAACTAGTGTATAACCCGTCACTTCGTTGACAGTGTGGTTATTTTATATTTTACATTTATACTTTTATTTCGCTAACGTTATCCATAGTCATAATAATAAAAAAACGTCGCGGTTGTAAACAAAGAAATGATGAACATGTGATGGTCATCTATTGGATAATTTTGTAACACGAATATAGCACCTTGCAAGCATCCGGTTTTTTAAATTATATAAATATAGATATATAGACACTGTATATAGATTATAAAAAACAGTGACTGTAATAACAAACGATTATTCTAAGTAAAGCGTAATTTCATATAATTCTAAGATACTCACATGCTGTATATGTTTTTATGTCATTTCGTATTTTGCTAAAATGTGTATTTACTTTTTGAACGTATCTATAATTTTTCCTTTCATACTGTTCATCAACAATTTCTTGGCAATGCACAAGACATTTTTTAATTTTACTGAAAAGTTGTTCATCTTTTGACTTCCGTTATAACATCTGAGTAATCGAAAATAGTGTTGAAATAGAATCCAGATCGCTTGGACGATGTTCTTTGTGTAACGTTTATAATACACTTCAATAATAGCATCGAACAAAGAAAGTTTCTGTGGAGTACAAGTACAGCGACTATGTTGTCTGTTAAATATTGAGACAAAAAGTTAATGTCATCGCTGTAAGTAACAACGAGAACATAACAATGATATTCGCTGTTTAATGTTTATTTTATTAGTGGTATAGCTTGAAGATAAATCCATTTATCAATCATTCGTGAGTAGTCATCATAATACTCATACCAAGAAAATAACAGGATATCACAACACTCAATAAAGTCTTTGTAAACCCCTATTTAGAAATTATCTGCAGAACGATTTCGATTAGGATAGTTGAATCTAATCTAATCATTGAGACAATCCATCAAACTACCAGATGGCTAGATGAAACTTTTTTTACCAAATTATATTTGTAATTGTTGCATTGATCGATGTTACACGCAATTATGTATTCTCCCAAAGAAATTTTTCCTTTTTTTGACATTGCACGCTTATCGTTATGCAATATGTAAGTGTTACAGTTTTGTTTTGCTTGCGTTACCATTGACTTTAATATTGATAATATCTACAGAAAAGTAACAGCCACCAAATTTAGTTAACTCAAGGCGTGGTGAAAAGATGTTTGTCTGTCAACTCGTACAAATAAAATAAAATAATGGAACTGAAAATATACAGAACTGCTAACTGTCGACCCCATATTTTTCTCTCCAGCCCAGTACATTTCCTAGTATTATGACACTAAATTTTTTTTAGTTGGACAATAAAGTCTTACGTTAATTAATATTAACGACATTAAAATTTTTTATTTTTCATATCATCCACGTATTTAGTTACACAAAGATTCAATAACTGGTTAACGATAAAAAAAGGCAATATTAAGTCCGATCCAAATTAGGCATGAGAAGAAATCTTATTTTTTTTCATTTCCCCTTGTCAAACCTTCAGGGTAGTATTCATAAATCCGCACATTATTCTATTCAACCGGATAAGATTATTAAGACATTTTAAATCTTCGAATATCAGATTTGCTAATTTTAGAGATCTAAAACGGTAGCAGTTGCGCATAAACATAAACATATTGGCTACATCTTCATCATCAGTTGTAGATGTCTACCATGTAAACGAAAGATTATTGTTGTGTTTGTACAAATTTCAAATCAACAATCAGAGAGTGGCGTTCCGTTCCGGTGTAGGTCGTTCCTATTGGCAACTTTCTTCCACAGCCGCCAATCAGGGAGCCGAAACGGAACAGAATTGGCGAACAGAGGACGTTAAGTGACTGGTCATAAAATTAAAATCCTTACATATGCTCAAGGGGTTACTCCTTATTAGTGTCTGGTTCATTTCCCCTACAGTCACTTCCTCGACAATCACTTCCCCGACACCCCGACAATTATTCCCAATAAATATTTCGGCACTAAGATAACTTCAGCAAGAATTGTCGGAAATAATTGTCAGGGAAGTGAGCTGTCCGGGAAGTGATTGTCGAGGAAGTGAAATGAACGGATCCTAATTAAATTATTCAAGTATGTTAATTGCTGCTAGCATGTAGCACATATGTATAATCCCTGAAAGTGTGTCACACAGCATAGTCTTAAAAATGAACTTACAAAAGTGTTAGAAGAAGTTGACCATAACGGAACCTAGTAATTAACGTTCTATACAATTTGCGCGACAATGGATTTGAAATCCCAGTTATATCGCTAAATGCACACACAAGTATAAATTTAGTGATCAAATACTTTGTTATCCATACCTGAAGTAAAATTATAATTGGTACGTTCCAAATTCGTAATATCGGCCCTCCACCGTAAAGTTAGACAAAGACCTGTCATTATCACCGAACTTTAAAAATAAAAGACCATTGGAAGAGTTATGCAGTAGAACGTATGTCTTGATGTCAGTCAAACCATTTAAGCGATTGATCCAGGCTATTTTGATCAGACCACATACAAAGTTTCATGCAGGCCATTTAATTAGAAGTGAAACACGGTCTGATCATCAAATGGCCTGATTAAATGACCTGACTAAATGGATAAAACGAATAGACTAAATGGGTGAAGAGTTACCCAACATTATTATTCACGTGTTACCACAAAATTGTACTCCGTAAGTGCACGAACTCAGTATTATCACAACTCCGTAAAGACTTCCACGTTCGTATAACAAATTCTCTATTGGATTCAAGTCACAACTGTTAGTACGGTCTATAACTTCAAGAACGTTATTCCGAATAAAATTTTAACAAAACTGCCAAAAATCGCTTTAATCTCCCAAGTCTTCAATTTCTCACCTTTGCATAAAATGCTTGCGTCCACTACTTCAGAAAAGCGTAATTTACTTCGTATGCAAAATTCTCTCCAGAAAAGAGCTAAAAATCAGTCTCATCCGAAACCGAAATGTTCTTCCAATATCACTGAGGCGTTTTCCTAAGCTCATTCTACACATTGACGTTGCTGACTTGCCCGGTATTTCGTTGGAAGCTTCCGAATTGTTCGATAAAAAACACCCACTCAGCTTGACGATAATTTTCGCTCTCTTGAAATGGAAAAGGTTTCCGAACACATCAAATTAATACCGCTGGTTCAATCTTATTAGCGGGTATAATCTTAAAATTACCCGTATATGGTTGTTTACGAATTCTGCTTCCTCTTCTTCCTGAGGCAACTTCTTGCCTTATCTTCGATATTCTTTGAGCAACCGCACCTATATGAAGTTCCAGGTTGTTTTTTCCAATGCTGTCATAGTCTGTACACTATTGTGTTATTTCCATATAGCGATTGTTGTACTGGTTGCTATTTTTCGAATGGAATTAAAAATAGTGTTATTGAAAGTCTCAATAGAACGAAAAATTAAGCAACTTAAAGAAAAAGCCTTAACCAATTGCAAAGTATAACTCATTATATATACAAAACGTTGTCACACAATTAAATATTTCCCATCATCATAATACATAGTAATATAAATTGATATTTATTTGGCCCAGTAATAGTTAAACAATAACACACACTAGCCGCCTAAAGTAGGACCAAGTTTAATGAAAGCTTAAATCTTAGATATATTCAGCTATAGATAGAATATGCCTTTGAAACATTGCCGAATATAGCAAATGGGTACAACTTAAAAATGACACATATGAAAATGAATAAGAAAAAGACAATACAATATTATGTATGTAACGCTTATAAACCCAAGCTACGCCACAGCCACATTGCTTACTATGTGGCGTGGGCGTAACCACATAAATTTCTCATAACTTTTAATGTTGCTCATCGGATCGTACACGCTTCGACACTGTCCCCCCAGAATCCTCTTCTTCTTGTACCGACCTGTCTATACGTGGCATAAGCTTTTGTAGAAATTCCTTAAATTTACCATTATCAACCTTTCTGTAGGTCTCGAAAATCAGATCACGCCATTTTTGTTGCAATTCCTCTTTTTCTCTTTTAGCTTCCTTAATACTCGCCTTTCGTTTTTTGGAAACCCTTTGCGCAACTGGATCAACGGAACTCAAAACTGGAACGCGGACGGTTCTTGGTGGAGCATAATCGACTTTAAACCCAAACAGTTTCGCTAGGTATCCATCAAATAAACATTTAATTACCGAATCGCTTTGACACTTTTCAAACAGAATTAAAAATCTGGGCGTTATAGGAACTTTTGCTTTATAGTACTCGTTGAAGATAGTGATTGAATCTGGCCAGCGTACACTCGTAAGATCCGATGGCACTTGTTGAGATGGAATATCGGCCATAAAACTTATGGCAAGTCGAACAGAGGTTACTTCTTTCATCAGATGCTTAGCTGCCTTTGATTGCGCCCCAAATTTGACAACTGTATAACGATATACTATGGGAGAATATTTTGTGAACGTGAATTGTAGGAAACTATGCAGAGATTTGTTTGTAGCAGGATTATCCGGACTAAATTTAGTAGCCTCTTTGTCCATATTAAATTTAGTAAAAGCTTCATGATAATCATTCACAGAACGGATGATTTCGTATTTCTTAAAAACAGTCAAAATTTCCTCCTCGGGTTTCTCAATTCGGTTGATTATATAGTCGAGTAAATCATGACGCTTAAGATTTCGGTCGGGGTTCAGCAATTCTGTCAAGCAGATCGAGATTATTTCGCTTTTAGAAAGATCGCGAACGACGGCAAACGCATCGATTAGCGTTTCTCCTATATCTTTTAACCTATGTTCGAATAAAATCAAAGCGTCTCCAATCAAGGCATCCGTTAGTTCGAATCCAAGCAATATCAGACTGTTCAGCTTCACGACAACTTGTTCTAAACCCGGTTTAACCCAATCTTCAGAAGGGCTTGGGGGATAAAGGATAAGTAACGATCCTTGCATAACCAGGTCGTTCACATCGTTAACGATCTCGTGATATCCGTTTTCCTTCCAGACGTTAACTAATTCGGGATAGATGAGTATAGCGCGTGCAATGACATTAAGTTGTCTGACGTTTTCATACCCATCAGAAGGGGGATAGTCATCGAAGTTAGCAGTACGTGACTCTGATTCAATCTCCGGATTGGGCTTTAGCCCAATTCCCCCACCTTCTTTTTTCTCTAGAATATGCTTTCGGATTTTCGGCCTCGGAGGAAATGGAGCGAACTTATATCTCTGAATCAGAGTTATAATCTCCTTTGTATTCTCTCTCAATTTGGTTCTCGCTTGACTAATAACTAATGGCCCAGCCGATAGATAATAAAAGGATTCCATATCATTTCCTCGAACAGGAATGTCATTCCCGTCAAACCGATCATGCCCTTCTTTGAGAATCCGGGAAAAGACGTCGAAAGAAAGGTTGCTTGCCCACGGGCTGCGTATTTTGTTTTGAATGGATTTTTTCCGATCTGGATCCAGATTGCCCATGTTATGCGTTAATTTGAGATCAATAAGCCTGCTGTCATATTTGCCAAATCCGAGCACTAGTCTCTGAATAAAGTACCGACTGATGTGCGCCTTTTGTGCAAATAGACATTCGACTACAAACAGGTTAATAAAGGGTTCGCCCATCCTTACTGCGTGAAATAATGCGTGAGTTAGCCCATATCTGCCGATCAACCACTTGGCTTTGGTCGCCGGTAAATTTATAATATTATTCCATTCACGTGAGCACCTGGCAAGTAGTGTAGGGTTTGGCAAGTGGAGAATAATTTCCACTTTCAGCTCTGGCGCAAAATCATCCAGACGCATGCGTGGAATAGGAACCATCCAAATGTGAGGTGAAAGCACCTCCGAATGATTACGCTGGGCAGTTGAGATGACATCTAAAATCAATCGTTTAGCAGGTTCGAGCGTTAATGGTCTAGAACGTCCATATTCAACAAAATAGCACAGCTTGATATTCAATACCTGTATGGTCGGGGAAAGTTTCGTTGGCCGAAAGCATTGGAATCAATGAGAACGCAATATTTGAAAGTATGAAGCGTTTGCGGCTCGGTATTTTTATATTCGTGGCATACCACACTTCTGGGCCTTATCCAAATGAGGCAAAAATTCAAAGGCTGATCAGCAGTGCGCACAAAAAAAAACAACTTTGCATTAACAAAGCTAATTTTAAATATATTATTAATCACTTGACTGCTAAAATTTTTAGGGAGTATTTCGTCAAGTTATTCGATGTGTCATAGACGTTAGAACTATAGAAATGACGTTAGTTATTAGGTTCGCCCAGAATTGCAAGCAAGTGCTATTATAAGAACAAATTCTACTATATAGTAATCATACGGTATGACTCAATTTATCATCGTTTTCTCGATTGGCTCGATTTAGAATATTGTTATTCAAAACAACAAAAACATGGTGTCTTATTTTAGTTTGGGAAATGGATGTTATCTATCTATCATTGTCTATCACCTTATCAGGTATTGAAGGCACGGCATGATGCGCATCAGACTTAATAGTAGTAATCAAACATTGTCCGTTGGTTTCTTCCCTCACAGCATAAACCAGATTCTACAAGTGAAACGTTTTTAATACACGAAGTATAATTACATTATCGTTATTATTGCTTAATATAATGTACGCACTAATAGTGAGCTGTTTGAGAATACCTGACGCTGTTAAGGAAAAGATCCTTTCAAGCAGAAGGAAAAATAAGCGGACTCATCAAAGGAGCTGATGGCGCAAGTTTACGTTCTCATCAAATATGCCTTCTTCGAATTTCGGACCGGTTTTCTGGAGATACAAACTGAAAATTTTTAACATGTCTTCGGCTTTCAGTCTTGGATGATCGTTCTTTCTGAAAGTACGAACTGAGGTTGCTTATTGTAAATGACAAGTATTTGTTTGGGTAAATGTTTTTTGCCTCCTGCTTTCAAGTACAGAATTATAGAATTCAACATATACGCAATCAATATACGGTACGGCAAATCACGCAATTGATACCAAAAAGTTGAGCGTACTTACAGTAGTCAATCCTGTCTTGACAGAGACAGGTCTTCATTAAAGGTGGTTTCGTATGACTAAAGAAACTGTTTTAATCCCAATAACGGTCATGACATAATATTAGTCATGAAACCGGATCTCTAATATACATATACATACAGCATACATACAACGTACATACATACAAACATACATACATATTGTCTATTCATTCAAGTCATCCGTTTAAAGCTCCTATATATAATATAATTGCTCTATCTTCCTCTTGATGAGTCGGTTGAAATTTTCTAATACGCGCAATTCTGATACACAAATCTTTGAATAATGCATTGGTTTCATTATTGTTGTTAGCATTACGGGAGTTGCTGCGATTCTGCGTTGGGCAACGGGATGCTGCGAGCTTGCATCTTGGCTGTAATAGTAAACGATTGTTAGAATTCGGCGGCCTGCGTCTTGGTGTGGACAACAGATGATCAAAAATGGTTCCGAAAAATCCCGCAGATCTTTGCTAACCATTGGGTTTTTACTTTCCATAATAATACTCATATTATGTTATCATCTTAACTAATCTCTGTAAACATGCATAGTAATAGTAGTATTTGCCTGAAAGGCTTTTAAATGAGATCTTAACAGACAAAAGATTACATGAGAACGAGACCGTTACGCTGGCGACGTACCAAAATTTTGTTGAATAGCAATTTAGCATCATAACGGTATTTATTACCTGTATTAAGTGAAATGATAAAAAAGACTTTATCGATATCTTACCATTTAATGATGCGTTTAATCTTATGTTTACCGATTGTATTGCCATCTGCAAATTTTTGCCCGATACGCAAGTTGTATAATTCCTTTAAGAAGTTCTTTTGAAACACATTACGTTGAGGTCCGCTTCATGTCACCGACAATCATCTCCCAATAGTTAATATTAATGATCTCCGAATATTACATCAAAATTTAATGTAGATTTCTCATCCACTCGCAGGCCAGTATTGTGGATTTAGAAAAATAGTATCCGATTGGACTTCACAACCATTAAGACTATTCAAGCGAAGTATTTAGCAGAGATTATTTTAAGAACTTATTCTCTCTTACTTTTTATAAAAGCTAGCAAGTAAACCGGCTACACTAAATTATATGTGGGCGTTTTGTAGCAGATTGCAAATTTACATCATGCCACTTTAAAATGGAAATCAGGCGACAGATCACCAACGCCCAGTATACATCGTGTTGCTTTCTATCAATAGTACGGGTAGTACGGGTCAGTATAATTGTCGGTTTATATAACCGGGCATCCACTCTTGAACAATCCTTCGTCTTACTCTATTATTTTAAAATCAAGGATAGTAATTTAATCAATGACGCCAATAACTTCAAGTTTTAGTCAAGAGAATGATTTGCCGATTAATTTTCTAGCCCAAGAATAATCACTTACTTTTTTATGGTCTGATAGGTTTAGCCAATGCTTATTGTTGCCAAGTAATTCTTGTCACGCTCTAACTATTCTTCGCTACTGCCGATTACGCCAATAACATATTCTTTCAATTTTTCCTTTTGTTGAACAGTACGTTCTAATTGGGACAGTCTAGCTTATTATTATGTAATTATCTTCTCCTCACATCGTACGACGGAACATGGTTTCTTTTTTTTTTGCCTCGGTAACGAAATGATCTAGATCGTTCGTTCTACAATTCTTTTAATTAAACGTTCTTTCGTTTCTGCCTATTTGAATATTAAATATTAACGTTAACCAAACAAATATCACTATATAAACCGTTGTAACATGAAATATGACGTTCTGTTGTAGTATCCCGTTCTCACTCATAATAAGACTTAAACTAAAACCCCTGAACGTAGTTTATTGCCATTCCCAATTTTTACATTCTGCGGCTGATTCAATAAACTTCCGAAAATGAGCACATTATATGAATATAGTAAAGGATGTTTATTTCGGAAGCATACGGTGATATTATCACGAATCAAGGAACGGATGCTTTATGACTGACACTTGATTGATGAAAGAATAAACGTAATGAGACGTGTCCCATTCAGTGTTACGTACAACAAGAATTTTAGAAGTTTAATAAAGACGTCTGGTATTTACGGGCAATAAATGACATATGCTCTGACCCTCTTTGGGATTTCGTTCACCAATGCGTGCCAAATGACGCTCCCGCATAATTCCGCAAATAGGAAATCCATGACAAAAGAATACATGCAGTGTTATTCAAAAAATCATTGAAAAAAAACTGATTCGGGAATCGCCAAACTCGAGAATTTTCTCGTTGACCCTTTTCCAGATTCTGAAATAAACAACCCGTATAATTGTTATACATGATAATCGGATAGCATCAATTCACATTGATCAATTGAGCAAAAACATTATTATGAATAGCAACAATATAGGAAATATTTAAGAAACGGAAGAAGTAAATCATTTATTAATTAATTGATATTGCAACTGGTATTTGCAGGAAGGCACATTGCTTATTCGGAACAATCGACTTTGCATTGATACCTGTCAACCCACATCTTGCTTCGCGACAGGG